CCCTAAACCTTAAACCCTAAACCCTAAACCCTAGACCCTTAAACGCTAAAACTAAACCCTAAACCCTAAACCCTAAACCCTAAACCCTAAACCCTAAACCCTAAACCCTAAACCCTAAACCCTATTATTATTATTATTATGTGAGTTTATTAGAATGCTAGAATGTTGCTCGGCCTCGTTGTGGGCTTATGCAATTTGATCCTAGTCTAAAGAGGCGCTCGAGCACTGGGAGTACACGGCCTACAATGCGAACCCTGCTTCTGAGGCGTCTTTCTACTTTCTACTTCTGCTGTCTTCTCTTGGCTTCCTCAGCCTCAGTCAGGAGAGTTGCCTCTCCTCACCTTGGCCTTCGGTCGCCACCTACTCTACCTCCATTCAGCTTCCTCAGCCTCAGTCAGGAGAGTTGCCTCTCCTCACCTTGGCCTTCGGTCGCCACCTACTCCTCCTCCATTCAGCTTCCTCAGCCTCAGTCAGGAGAGTTGCCTCTCCTCACCTTGGCTTTCGGTCGCCTCCTACCTTCTCTCCTTACCTTGAGCTCAGCTCAAGCTCGGTACGGGCTCGCCCTGTTTCCAGGCTAGCCCTCGCCTTGCTCTTCCTCCATGTCTTCCTCTTCTTCGTCATCTTCCCTCATCTCCACTCGCAGTCGGTCCTTCTTGTCCACCTTCAGCGAGCAGGCCACATGCATCTCTGCGAATTTACTCAGTGCTATGAACAGGAAGCTAAGAGATCGACGCTCTATGTCGTCGCTCTCCGCCTCCTGCTCAAGCTCAGCAGCTGCCGTTGCCCGTGGCGAGAACGCGCTGCCCCTCCTTGCCTTCTTGCTCTCTCCTTGCACGCGAGTCCAGCGCTTGCTCTGCAGCCACTTCCCCAGCTTCTCCTTGAGAACGTTGCGCCCAACTCCCTGCTCCTCTGGCATCTTCGCCCACTCTCCCAGCGACATGAACTCCAGGCTCCCCGGAGAGTAGAAGGTGTCGTGGAGGTTGCCAACGGCCTTGTCCAGGACCAGCTTGATCGGCTCGCTCGTTCCCGCCTCGTTCAAAGAAGCTGCATCTTCGATGACTGCTGACAGCTCGCTGACGAGCTGCATGTCCTCTTGGCTTGACGGAGATGCTGCCTCCATTGTGAACCCTAAACCCTAAACCCTAAACCCTAAACCCTAAACCCTAAACCCTAAACCCTAAACCCTAAACCCTAAACCCTAAACCCTAAACCCTAAACCCTAAACCCTAAACCCTAAACCCTAAACCCTAAACCCTAAACATGTACAGCTGTGAACTTGCGACCATCGATCGCGAAGTCCTCTCTTCCCTGCCAGAGCTTCTCCGCTTGTGCAATGCGGAGGAAGGAAACAGTCACCGGGATCTCCTCAGCACTCGCTATCTCGGGTCTATACGGAGCCTTCCACATGATTGCTTTACTCTCTTGCACTGAGTCTACGATCAGTCCGATCTCTTCGAATTTCTTCTTCAGCTTTTCTTCATGGTTGACATACACCGAGGAGATGCCCAGGAGAGTCATGGAGATGAAGGAAGTCACCTCGTTGCCTGCTGAGGCGGTGTATGTCTCGACCTTCTCCTTCTTGGCTTCTTCAATCTGCTGCATAAACCATTCTCTGGATGCGTCACTCCATCCAGTCATCGCTTCTTGGAGAAGCTCACGTCGTGCCTGCTGACATGTCGAGCGGATGGCTTCTGCGATAGCGTCGGGGGTGCATCCCTCCACAGCCTTGCAAGCCTGGGCTGTCCTGCTGTTCGGATAACGCTTCGCGAAGCTCTTCACCCTCTCGACGAGATCAGCTTCGAGGACAGAGGCATCCACAAGTCCGCTCTGCGTGTATTGGCATGATCTCCGATACAGCAGGTTGCGAACATTTTCATCATACTGAAGAACCATACTTAGAAAGCTATTTGAAGTATACAAACCTCTCGCTTGCAGCTTCCTTGGCGCCCTGGCAGCTTCCCCTACACCACGCGTGCAGCCATGGTGCCTGAAATAACCGGCGCTGCCTGAAATAACCGGCGCTGCCTGAAACAACCGGCGCTGCCTGAAATAACCGGCGCTGCCTGAAATAACCGGCGCTCGCCTGAAATAACCGGCGCTCCTAAACCCTAAACCCTAAACCCTAAACCCTAAACCCTAAACCCTAAACCCTAAACCCTAAACCCTAAACCCTAAACCCTCGGGTAGGGGTCGTTGGCTGACCAGATCTTTGAGCAATCGCTGTTCTTGGTGCATGGCTGTTGCGTGCAGATTGTTTCTACTAACTGAAACTGCAAAACTGCTATCGAAGCGACGACAAGTGCAGCGTGATTGACTTTCATACTCTTCGATATCTCCTCCTCACTCCTCTCCCTGCTATTTTCTTCTCTCCCTGCTCTCGCCTTGTCCCCCTGCTTTCCTCTTCTCTTCCTGCACTTCCTTTCTCCTCTTCTTTCTCCTCTTCTTTCTCGTCTACGCTCCCTGCTATTTTCTTCTCTCCCTGCTCTCTTCACCTCGCCTCTCTCCTCTCCCCGCGGCCCTCCGCCCCCCTGCCTGTATGAATAATAAAAAGGTACCCAGTAGCAATAAAACAGTACTAATGTAAAACAGTACTAGTGACCCCCTCCAGTGACCAGCGTTCTGCTGGGGTGACACATGGGGGTCTCGATCTGAGTACTGGGGCGGTCATCAGAACCCACGTAAGGATATATATTCCACAAGCTTTTGTACCGCAGGTAGTATTTGAGTAGTAATAATGCTATGAATATATTCAGTATTCTCACTCATGTGTACAATTCACGTGTCAGTTTTAAAAGCAGTTGTTGAATGACGACCGTGACCAAGGCCTTTGTTGTATTGTATCGCGAAAAGTTTGAATATACATTTTGGTATCGCGATCGATACATTTTATAACTAATGTAAAGACTCTTTAGTCAAAGTGCTATATGCTGTTGTGCTGGATTCGCGATACCGGCGCTGTCAGCAGTAGTAATCTCGGCCCTGAATTTCCGAAAGATCGGACGCCGTAAGTAAACGTTGAGTAATTGTGTATGGTACTAAGATTTCAGTGATCACCCCACCCTGTTGGATAAGGTCTCAAGCACCGGTGGAGTTTATGTAGCACCGTGGAAGGCCCGGTCTGTGAACGGTTTACTAAAAAAAAAGTTCACTAATTACTAGTTATGATCACTCGGATGGTAATCAAGATGACGAGTGGATCAGATAACCTCCGAGTCTTCAGCCCAATAACACGGCATAGATCAAACCTGTCGGAGGGACTCCTGTCTGAAAGAGGTTATGTCAATCGACGGCCTGTGCGCAGACTATCAACTCAAAGACCAGCCATCAACTTCCTCAGGCTGACAGGCTTGCAGACCCTGTTGATCACTGATCCGACACTGCCTTGGATGGACTTGCAGGTTTTCGCCGACCATGCAGTGGGGAAAGACTTGGCCATGGCTGCTTGCGGCCGCAGTGGCGGTGATGGTGCTGGGGGCAAGGAGGGAGGAGGAGAAGGAAAGCATGGGGAGAGAGACGACAAGGACGATGCTGAGCGAGAAGAGCCTCGTCCGGATCTTGCACGAGCGAGAAAGAGCCAGAAGGCAGCTTAAGCATACTCTGGGAAGGATCCTTAGCGGGGAAGATCGAGAGAGAGAGAGTGGGAGGAGCTCAGAGGGCTGGGGCTGTAGAACCACTCAAACTGCATGCTGCCGTAAGAGGAGGCGGAGGCTATGGAAGTGATAGCAGTGCTGACGATGTCCCTCGGTTGATGAGGAAAGCATACGGTGACGTGGAGGGGCCTGGGAAGGGAAGGCCAGAGCCGCGGGCCAGGCCGACATGGCAGGAGATGAGAAAAGACTGGAAGCCTTTCGATCCTTCAAAGAGTCTTGCACAGCAACAGACTTTCTCAGGTAACAGAGTCATCAAGGCGATGTTGCGACCTCCGCCAGTATCACACGCCATAGCGAAGCCCAACATGATAGCGGGACAGGGTGATAGGAAGGTGCGGGGAGAGGCTTTGATGGATCAGTGCTTCTCATTCACATGTCCAGCTGCGACCTCTTCGTTGCTCCCCAGGAGCATCCAACACCTGCGAGCAGCAAATGCTCCTCGCGTTGGTTCGCGCACCCCTCGACTGCATCCGCAAGGCTTACCATGGGAGGATGAAAGGGACGAAGTTCGAGCGCGTGGGGAGGTAAGGAGATGATGTTTCCAGTCTTCCTGGTGCTGATCCTCTCATGCCAGCGCTCCTTCAAGCTCGACTTCAGCAGAGGGGCTGACGGAAGAGAGGGAGAGAGTCGCGCGTGAAGTGGCTCAGGGGAAGTTGAGGTGCGAGAGCAGGAGCCTAGGGTATGATAGGGATGTGAAGTGTTGTAAGCAGCGGTACTTCCAGAGTTCCTCAACACAGCAAACTCGCCACCTCCATCCAGCGAGCAAGGGAAGCGCTCGACAGGGAGCTTGCAGCTGAAGCGAAAGATGAAACCTCCCAAGGTGCAGTTGGCCTAGAAGGAACAGGGAGGGGAGAAGGCTAAGCCGTCTTTTTTGAAAGCTGAGCGTACAAAGGAAAAGCCGAGCGACCAAGAGGGTGCCAATGCCAGAGCTCCTTCGCTTTCCTCTTTCCCTTCCTCAGAAGGGAAACTTTCTGCCGCTCAGCTCCTGAGGATCGTCCGATCGAGGGCAAGGAGTCAGCGCCTGGCCGATGTATACAAGGAAAAAGAAAACATCGTGGATGCTGAAAGGGCATACAAGGAGGGAGAGGTGCTCAGCTTCCTCCTTTCCTCTCATGATGAACTGAAAGTGGAACCAGCTCGCTGCTAAGGCCTACGACAAGGGCGAGCTGGATGCGAGAGAGTATGAGGCAGGACTGCAAGGTAAGCTCCATTCCATTTCTGCTTATCTTGGCTCTCTGTGTGGTGTCTTGTCCTGGGCTGATCGAGCGAGAACAGCGGGAAAGAAGTTCGGCAAACTTGCATCAGGCAACGAGAACTCTTATGTCGTGCTGCCCCTCAAACCCAGTGGGGATGAGGACGAGGATGAGGACAAGGCTGAGGACGAGGATGAGTTGAAGGTGTAATGTCACGCAGGCGAGCAAGCAACAGCAAAGTTCATCCCTTCTCTCTTGACCCTCGCAGTCGCTGAGCAGCGGAGGATGCAGGTGAGGTGAGGAGGGAAGTGGTGAGGAGCTCACATGGGAGAGCAGCAAGACAAGAAGCAGTGGGACGAAGAAAAGAAGCTTGCAACTCTGCACCAGGTCTCTGCAGTTGACACACTCCCGAGCTAACGCTCTGCAGATTGCCTCAGCTGCATGCCAGAAGAGGATGGCGTTGGAGGAAGAGGCAAGCCTGGTTAGTCATGTGCTGGCTGCAGGTCAAAGCGCAACAGAGAGTCATTCACGAGCTTGAGAAAGCTGTTGCGATGCGCAAAGAGGCGGGGAAGTCACAGACGCCCAAGCGACCGGAGGCTAACAACAACATGGGGAAGGAGGTGGCAAAGGATCCGCTGGAGGTTTGAAAGTTGATCCTGTGGCAACTTGCTCAGCACCCAAACTTCTCTGCAGCTCGTTGCCAAGGTGACGGTGTCTTGGTGCTTGACATTTCATGATGCTTCAGCAGAACGCTGAAAGAGTCGCCTTCGCCACTTCTGCTAGCACACTTTATCGGCAGTAGCTGTCAGTGCTCGCTCGTGTGAGGATGTGACTCTGATGCCGAGCAGGAAGAAGAATCTTGCGAAGCTGCGCAAGGACGAGGAGGGGATTCACTGATAGCTCGATTCACGAAGTGTCAACAGGACATCATGGAAGAATATGGGCAAGAGAGAAGGGCCAAGTCTGTACAGCTGAGGGACTTTGTAATGATCATAGAGTTGTGGTGGAAGTGGTTGGGAGAGGAGGGGGGGGGGGGGTTAGCATGTTGCGAACCTTGATTACTTTCACCATACTGAAGAACTAAATTCGGAAAGCTGTTTGAACTATACCAAACCCTTGCTTACAGCTTCCTCGCGCCTTTGCGGCTTCCCCCGTACACCTGGCGCGCAGCCATGATACCAGGCTCCCGGGAATCCTAAACCGGGTTTAGGTTGAATCCTTCCATTTCGGGGTCACTGACAACCTTGCAATCCGCCTCAGACAAAACCTGAGGAAAATGTCCAAAGCTGATGCCGACGAGCTGTTAAGGGAAGCGGAGAAACAGTAAGCTCAACACCATGCACATCAATATCATGTTTTTTTGTGATACAATTTTCCTTATCAACATCTGTTTCTCAGATTTGTTTGCCTTTCTTTGAAACGAGTTGCATTGTTTGTTGATTTTTCTGCTTTTGGTTTCATCGTGCATTTGGTTCTTCTATGCACTCAGTCCATAACCACGAAACTTTATGTGTTCTATGCTTCTTGATTCTTTTCTGCTTTCTTGTAATTTCATTTGTTTTAGCATGAACAAAAAGTCCATGCTTTTCAGGAAAAAACCTGATTATGAAAGGGCAGCTGATTGCTACCAGAAGGCTGCACAAATACTTCGCTCCCCAGCTGTATACCTACGTTGCTAACCCTCAACATGACTTTGATATTTTTTCAACCAATATGACCTTCTCACGAAACCTGCTAGGAGAATGCTCACTCTTTCGCTGGACAGGTAAAGAAGTTGTCCGATGCTGTAAAAGCCTTCGAGGACGCTTCCAATGCACATGTGAAAGGAGGTTCAAGGATGCCAGGTTCAACTCTATATCTCTGAGATACATGGCAGGAGCTCAGTTTTTTGGAGCTGTTGCAATGGAGAATGCGGCTAATGTAAAACTTCTTTACTTTCATAGTTCGCATAATGTGCTGCTGCAGATCCTTAGGGACCTGAAAGAAAACTCAACCAGCTGCGATAGATACAAAAAAGCTTCTGCCATTTACAGGTGCCTGTACGAGATATACTTCCATAAGTTGACGCTTGAGATAGAGAAGCAGGGAACGCTGAGAAAGCAGCAGAATCACTCATGAAAGCAGCCAAGTACTTGCGTTTGATCTTAGCTCTATATTCATGATGTGCGATAGAGCTATTGCTGAGGACGACGTCGACAATGCAATCAAACTTTATCTCGTACATCACGATCATGGCCAATAATTGTTCTCCTTATTTGTTCCGGTCCAGGAAAGTATGAGTATCTATGAAGATGAAGAAAAGCATATTTTCATTGGAGACTCATGGCGTGCATGTATGTTTTTTCTTTCTTGTTCTTGGAATTCCAGCTTTGTCTTGTAACGTTTCTCTCTAATTGCTAATGACAAAAGGTCTTGGGCTCATGATGCGACATCGCAAAGTTGGTTCACATCCATAGAACCAGCAAAAGCTTCTGACAAACTTACTCAGGTTGATGATGCAATCCAGCTGTTGAAGAGAATGATTCACAACTTTGAGGTCCCTCCACCCCCCTCACCCCCTTTCACTTGCTACAAGAATCTCAAACGTTCAAGCGAGACTGAGAAACACCGTGCAGATTCTGGACCAAACGGACTACATGTACAAGGCACAGCTAAGCGTAGTCGTTCTTCTGGTGAACTACCTGATGCTCCTGCAACCTTCTCACTTCAAACAAGCTCTCTAAAGGGGACATGGTCGCGGCATCTAGTGCCAGGTCCGCGATGGTATTCCGGATGTTTAAGGCTGTGACATGCGATGAAGAGATAGCTTCGGCGATTTTATGATGACAAGAGAAGGACAAGCAGCGAGTGATTTGATTCAGGTGCTTTCGATTCTTTATGCGCATCATCTCTCATCCTGATGACTCTTTTAATTTCACCTCAGGCTTTCGAGGATGGGGATAGCGCGGCTGTTGAGTCGATGACAAAGACGCAGACATTCACGCTGCTTGAAAATCAGGTCAAGGTATTCCGTACATTTATCTCAAATCATCAATTCAAATCAGATCGCGCGTGCGGCAAGTAATCTCAAGAATGTCTGTGAGCAATGTGCATCAGACATGACTGGAGCAAGGTGAAAGTAGCCTGTAGTCTTTTCAGCTGAATGTTTTTCAGAGTAAGTGCATCCAAACAAGCGTCGACAGCACGCAAGACAGAAGGGACTGATCAGAAGCAAGCTACAGATCCCGATGATGAAATGGACGATCTTCTTTGAAACCAATCTGTTTTGGTGTTGTTAACAGTTTGGTTTCAACTCTGAATCCGGGATTAGGAGTTGAAGAGCGTGAATTGAAGCTGTTGGTTTATGAGTATCACGTTACATTCTTGTTCTTGATCAGTTGTCCTCTTTCCAAGTGTATGTGCACTCAGCCCCTCTTGCACATCGATAAAATCTGGCAGCATGTCAGGCTCTCAGATTCAACCTTGCATCTCTTACCGAGTGGCCGGCTCATCGGCTGAGCGAATCTGTATCGAAAAGAAGTAGGCCTTAGGATGTCCTGTAGTGTACAACTTAACACCACGACTCTGCCTGTCTAGGACACTTCTCACCGCATTTAGGGCATCCACCGATCACATCTGTCATGGAAGCATTTGCAAACGAGTCGCCAAGAACATCGTCCACCTGCAAATGGCGGCCATATCATTCACAAGTACAGCCTTGCAACCCTCTGTCACCTTCTTTTGTTCTAAAGGTGTTGTTTTCTTGATCTTTTTCAAAATTTTATGCTCATAGGGACAAGTCTTGCAAGCAAATCTCATGCCTTGGCTTGCAGGCTCTACCACAAGAAGATTTGCACAATACGGACAAAACATGGCCACGAATAATGAAAATCGGAGTTGACTTGACCCTACCGACTAGAGTTCAAACGAAGGCACATCTGAGGGAAGCTGTTCCAGTCTCCCTCACGCAGATCCTTGTTTTGCTTCTCTGCTCAATGCACGGGCTCAGACTTTGGTCTGTAAATGACCCCTACCCACCTTTTGTGACCAAATTGGGCCGGTGATCATTATACCACTAGAAGATGTCCTCAGCTTGGTCGCGTGCGCCGGTTCTGTCAACAGTGACAGCGTTTATTGCTCGCCCGTTCCGTCTCCCTCCTCCATGCCTCAATCTTCTGGCTTCGCCAATGCCCCTTACCTTCTCTTTTCCTCCTACGAGTTTGCTAAGGGATGCACTCCGCCCAGTAAGGTTCAAAAGCCTGCATTACAGTGCAAGCGTCATTCCACATCGAGGGATCTCAAATTCAGGGAGGAACTTCTCAGTGCCGGGTGGCATTCTTCTGCATAGCGTGAGGAGAATCACTACAAATACAACCCCAAAACATAGAATCGGCTCGACCTTTCAAGAGTTCGTTGCCTCTCACAGGGATGAACTACTCAACATCGGGCTAGCGTCGCTCCTGTTGGTTTTGACCATCAAACTGGTTCGGATCAAAGGTGAGGGCGAGGACGAAGCCGAGAGATTAAACAAAGTTGTTGAGGGCTTGCAAACGACGTTGGAAAGAACCAAAACCAAGCTTGAGGAGCTTGCCCTAAATGAGACACCAGCAATTGCCTCAGCTATCTCGCTAAAGAAGGGCAAGGAAGAAATCTTACAAGAGCAGATTCTTCAGATCATCCGGAGGGGCTTTGAGCAAGATATCGTTTCCAAGAATGAAGTGTCAGTGCAGAAAGAACAGAAGCTGAATTCAGAAATGGACATTGCAACACCCACTTCAACAGTGAAACCGAAAATGATTTGAATGGTTGTTGAAAACGATCTACAATCGAAGTTGCTATCAGTTCTCTTACCCCTTTCAATTTGAACATAGCACTGAATGTCTCGCCTTGCTCCTATCTCCTCCTGGTGACGACTAGTTGGAAATGAATATGGTTAGATTTGCTCATTCACATCATATCCACCTATGCAACTAGAAAATGGACACGATAACATGTGCACAATCGGTTTATAAAATTGGAAAGAAAAATTCTTCTATGCGTTATTCCCGAGTCTCTGGAACATGCTCTCCTAGAAAATCCAACAACCCCTGCAACAACATTACCCCGGCACAATAGCAGTGTGCATTGACCTGTACGCTTCTTTCTCCTGAATATAGGATTGGATGTTTGATACTTCCTCCTACCAGTTTGATTGTGGGAAATCCATTCACGTGATGCTGTAAAACAATGTCAAGGTGTGAGTTTCAAATGGTGGCGGTGGCGGTGGTGGTGGTGGTGGTGTGTGTGTGTGTGTGTGTGTGTGTGTGTGTGTGTGTGTGTGTGTGTGTGTGTGTGTGTGTGTGTGTGTGTTTTGGGTGGGGAGGGGGATAAAATCTATGTTTGTAGAGGTTGGGAGTAACCTTGTTACAAAACTTCTGAGACTCAACAGAGAGCGAGCATTCCACCTGTCATTCGCTTAGAACTACAGAACGGTTACTGCCAGACAAACCTCCATAAACATTACTTTTCCCAGGGTCTGGCTCGCAGCATATTCAAATGCCCGTTTCATGCTCTGGCATCTTGTGCACCATTTCTCGTGGAACTTTACCAGCGTAGGATATTCGTCCGTAATGAGCTGTACAGGGAATTGGAATAGAAATGCATGCAGCAATACAAGGGAACCTCTTCGTTGAATGGAAAAACATCTTCCTCCGTAGTGTTTTCAAACTTAACACGAACGAATTCTACAATATTTTGAGAGGATAGCTCGCGCAGATACCTATCTAATCAAAATTAAGCCACTGAAGGAACAATCCAACAATGTCATTACCCATTCCTTGTCCTTGAACAGCTACAAAAAGCATAGGAAAATTGCTGATTCCTTTCAATTCCATTTCACGACTATTATCACCCTTCCTCGCATCAGCTTTCAAAAATTTCATGTTTGCCATTTCTGGGAAATTCATTCCTTTTAATGCAACTTCAGCTTGGCTCACAGCATCGATCGCTTTCTCGCTTTGTTCATCACCACCCCTGTACAATAAGACAACTTGATTCTCATCCGATGGTGAAAGGGATTTGAATGCTACTTCATCTAGACACAAAATTGTCGGGATGAAAACAAGAAAGAAAAGATTCCACGATGTCATCTGAGAAAGGCGTTAATTATACATCTTTGCAGCACTATCCCGATTTCCCCCTTTTCATATCATCTAAGAGAGTACAAACAACAAGTTCTAGTCTGCTCGCTTTCGTCCGTTGGGCATGCATCGTTGTCTCTGAAATGATATTCCTATCAGTCCTCGTCATTCTAGGGCATCAACTGCGACCACGGGGATTGAGGCATTGTGTCGCACTGATTTTTAACTTAACCTTGAGTAATAAATGAAGGGTGACAAGTGACATACTATGATGGGCACGGGCCCGGCCACTCAGTGTTGCCCCAGCCCTGCCCGCGGGCCGGCCCGGGAATCTGCCCACTAGTTGCTACTGATTTTTAACTTAACTTTGAGTAAAGAGTTTTGGTCAGGTGTGGGTAGGGGTGCAAATGAAATGAGGATGGAGGGGTAGACTCGTTTTCTTTTTTCCTGGCGCTCAATTTATTGGATTTGCATTCCATTGTCTAGCAACAATCCCAATCGATGCGTTCTTCATGTTCTTCAACATATTAATAATAATAAAAGAGATCAAGAAAAAAACGCATCGATTGGGATTGTTGCCAGGCAATAGAAGCATTTCAATAAATTGAGGGCTAGGAAAAAAAAGAAAGAAAACAAGCCTAGCTGGCTTGTTACAAGAAAGGGGATTTCGCATTAGCTCGCGTTTTATAAGGTGAAGAACGCATCGATTGGGATTGTTGCCCATGAAAATGTTATGCGATCAGAAACAGGGCGCACAGAAGAAAAAAACAAGCCTAGCTGGCTTGTTAGTTAGAAAGGGGATTTTATTGCACCTAGCTGGATTGTTAGAAAGGGGATTTTATTGCATTAGCTCGCGTTTTATAAGGTGAAGAACGCATCGATTGGGATTGTTGCCCATGAAAGTGTTATGCGATCAGAAACAGGGCGCACAGAAGAAAAGAAAACAAGCCTAGCTGGCTTGTTAGAAAGGGGATTTTATTGCATTAGCTCGCGTTTTATAAGGTGAAGAACGCATCGATTGGGATTGTTGCCCATGAAAGTGTTATGCGATCAGAAACAGGGCGCACAGAAGAAAAGAAAACAAGCCTAGCTGGCTTGTTAGAAAGGGGATTTTATTGCATTAGCTCGCGTTTTATAAGGTGAAGAACGCATCGATTGGGATTGTTGCCCATGAAAATGTTATGCGATCAGAAACAGGGCGCACAGAAGAAAAGCCTTGAAAACAAGCCTAGCTTAGCTGGCTTGTTTAGTTAGAAAAGAGCTAATGCAGAAAAGATTCACCGTCATATAACTCGCTGAGCTAATGTAGGTTGTCGGAGTGTCTCGCTAGCTTGCATGGCCATGGGTGGTAGGGGATTGACCTCAGTCGATCAGAAGCACAGATCATCGTCAAAGTTCTACTGTGACAGTGACCTGCCAAGTCGTTGATCTGGCTGGTGTCGAGACGAGGCGATGATCTCTGGTCCGTCATCTGCAAACAGGTGTAGGACAATGGTCTCTTGGAGTTTCAGCATTAGGAGCTCCAGGCGACTCACTTTCTTGACTATGCTAGTTATGATCACACACCTGATGGATGCTGGAGCGGAAGACTCTGACATGGTGGAGGACACGTCAAGAGAGGAGGGGGTTGGTCCTCACATCATGCTATGGGTTGAAAATGATGACTGCCAGTACGAGACTGTTGAGTGCAGACGCAACGACGGCCCTCACCCGGTAAGTCAAACGATGGAACCATGCGCTGTGGTCTTGAAGAGGTAGCAGGAGAGTGAGAGAGCCAGTCAGTCAGAGCGAGAGGGGAGGAGGGAGATAGAGACAGTGGAAGGTTGGAAGGGGGGTAGAATTAGAGCCAGATGGAGAGAGATGAAGAATGGGATCCCTGAAGCTTTCTGAAGGGACTGGTTGGCATGTATTGACTTTGACCTATGAAGCATATTGACAAGCTGGCTTGTTGGTGCAGTTGATATCTTTTTACACGTCGGCAATGGATTCCTCGATGGAGGTCAACATCTTCCTCAACGGAAAGCTGCTACAGAGAACGACAGATCAGACAAGCACTATGAGCATGATCATGCGCTCACCGCACGAGTTTGCCGAACGCGAATCAAGAGGAGACTTTGTACATTCGCTCATGGGTTGCATTGTGGATCGTTATGGAAAGATTGTTGCAAAAGATGAGATGGAGTTTTCGTATGATCTTACCAACAAGCTGCTCCAAGATGTCAAGAGCTTCAGACCGCCTTGTCCTGTATTCACACGTGATCTGCTTGTTCATCTAGTTGACTGGCAAGAAAGGTGGTCAATGACAGTGATGTGTTCTTCAACTATCGCGGCGGAGATGGCCATGGGACTCATCAACCTGTGTTGCATGCTGCCTTCTTCTTGACGTCAGGATCGGTTAGAACTCAACACAAAGTCTAGTTCGAGCTGAACATTGACAGGTGGTTGAGTTCGGAATGGGATTTTATAGCACTCCAATGCTTCACCATCTTTGTGCGCAAAAGGGCAGGTCAGAGGTCCGGTTGAACAGCTGGAGATGATATGAAGAGCCAGGCGTTTGACCAGTCTCGACACAGACAAGGAGTGGGTGTCGAAATTTGAGCACTTCAAGTCAGAGACTCACCGAATTCATCACGTTGCTGGTAATCTCGTGACGTTTTCAATTCGATGGGGTTGAATTTGAAATGCCTCTTGCTTAGGTTGGGATGAAGTAGAAGGAGGGGAGATCATGAGAGAGATATTGAGCGGCAGGTGTGCTGTAGTTCTTGCTTGCCCAACAGCTGGGTGATGTTCAGTTGCAGCTGGGGTCTTGCTTTTGTTGACCAACATCCTGAGAGCGCGAGGATTGAAGTTGCAAGGAGGATCAAAAATAGAACCAAGTTCATCGTGATGCATGATGCTTATCGACAACTTGGTCAGAAGGTGCTCAATAGGTCCCCTGAAATGAATTTCTGAATCCTCTTCTTTCAGGGGTTCGAAAAGTTCAGCGATGAGTTCAAACGTTTCCACGAATTTTTCCCTCCTCGCCCCTTTCCTGTACGTTACCATGATGATGAAATGACTTCCAAGGATGATGATCATGATGATGGCGATGCTTGCGATGGCACTGAGGCGTTTTATGATGATAACGAAAGTAATTCTTGGTATGGAAGGGATGAAAATTTTAGATGAAAGGAAAGGAAAGGATGACATCGATTACAACCTTGACGGTGGAAATGATCATTATCGGATGGTAGCAGTAAAGGATCAGGAGCGATTGAGAGGGAGGGTGATATTTATGCTGCATGTTGCTTATTCACCTCACGTTGCTGATTTACTTCATGTTACTTATTCACCTCATGTTGCTACTTTACATCATGTTGTTAATTCACCTCATGTTGCAGGTTTTGGCTGGACCTCCAACTCTTCTCGCAAGCCAGGAGGAGGATTGTGACATCGACATTGACTTTTACTCCTACGATCAGTGGTGTTACCCTGACATGTTTCAACACAACCGACTGCGTGGTCTCACATATTTCCAAGAAAGTACGTGCCAAGCCCAGAACATAGACAAGCACGATGCCAACTCAGATGCTGAGCTCATAAAGATTGCAAGCTTGCTAACCAATCAGTACCAACTAGATCCGGTCTACATGTCCAGCCCCTTGATATCCTTCTTCCCTGTGCTGGAAGCAACAATCTCACAGACCTCAGGCTGCATCCTCCTCCTTGGTGCTCTGAGGGAGACCCAAGAGGCTGCGCAGGAGGTGGTTGCTCGCAGTATAGGTGGCAAGGATCGCAGGATCGTACCGGTCTTGCTGGAGGACGGCACTTCGGGTCGGGGAAGATGGTGGCAAGAGAACAAGGAGGAAGAGCTACTAGGGGCCGATCAGCTTCGATCGTTTTTTCCTGCTCTCGCACCGATGGATCTCTCGAGGGACCTCAGGAAGGCTCTCAGCTCACTGGCCTCTCAACGCGACCCCGTCAGCGTCGTCTTGGTCGACGAGCTTGGCTTCAAGGTAGCTCCTCCCTTGCTTCCTCGTCCTCTCAGCCTTCCCCGGTAGGATCGAGCTACTCTCGTCCGCGTCTTGTTGGAGCCTCCCGCGTCAGCTCTCAGCTTCTCCTTCCAATGGCTCGTCCTGCATGACATTGACCGGCTCGTTAAAGGAGATCTTCTCCGACTCCCCGCCAGCATGCACGGCCACTGCTTCCAAGAGTTCCACCCTCCTAGGTCCCCTCCCCCACTCTCACGTCAAATCTCTCACGCCATTTGACGTGCTTGGCAGGCCGTGGCCTTCGCTCACAGGGCCGACGACGCTGCTAGTGTCAGGCGACAGGAGATGCTCGATGGGTGGAGGCGATCAGACGTGACTGACCTCGAGTGCGCAAAGTTTCTCAACGGAGACCCTCAGGTGACTGCCAGACTGCCGGGCCGTGACAGCACCGACGCCTGCCGGCGAGGCTTCAGCTAGTTAGTTTGCACAGTGACTCGCCCGGCCGCTGAGGATCCGATGATTAGGCGGCCTCTTTCTTGGACAGTGCCACTCAGTGGATCAGAGTGCTACAGGAAGCCCAGGCTGCTCGCTGCACCGTCTGCGTCAGCCTGCGGCGAGTACGCCGGTCACCGATCCGGCGTACCGTACCGTTGTCACGGCTGCGAAGGATCAACTTGTAAACGCATCTGGCCCAGGATCTTTCGGCGGCGTCAGCTCAGCGGCTCAAGGCCTCCCTGTCCTTCGCTGCCATATTCAGTGATCCGATCCGGCGGCCCGCCTGTCTGCTTACACCCGCCGGAGTCACCCCGACCGCCGCCGCCCTCCGATCGGGCCGCTGCCAGCCGATCATAAAATCAGATAAACTTTAACGCGAACTTTTCGAGTTCACGGCGTCACGGTTCGGAAACGGTCAAGCGGCCTGCCAGTGCGTAGTATAGTAGTAGAACCTTGTGACTAGGGTAATCACCGTAACGATAAAAAATATGATCAGAATGGTCAGAGACCAGGCTGAGAGAGGGGATGACACCGATCTGAGCACACGTTTGAGTTGTGTGATAGTCACTGACTGTCACGACACTGTCATGCTGGATCAGCTCACGTGTGCTGTTGGTCTGCAGGAATGGAAATGGAGAGGCATGAATCCAGTGACTTCAAGTCGAGATTAACAGAACTTCATCGAGAGATGATCAGACTGCGATCCTCCACTCAGGAAAGTTCTCGTTGTTCCGTCTTGTCAAAGAGGATGACGTCAGCTTGTAGGCTGCAAGAGATCTGTTCGAGCTGAAATTGTGCGAGTCGCACATAGTCAAGCTCCAACCATTTGACTCTGTACACCAGGAAGCACACCCACGGGGAAGGCTACGACAGCAAGGGGCTCGACGAGGTGTAATGCGACATCTCATGTCATGTCATGTCATTCGATGTTGCAATGCAGGCGCTCAATGAACATCTCTCTGCCATCGAAACGAGCCTTTCATCACTCAGCATATCCGAGAAAGCTGCAGCCAACCCTCAAGTGCTGGATGCTCCTGAGACCACCAGCAAACTCCTGCAGAGGTACCAAGCTCTTCAAGGCAGGGGTCGATGATGATTCTCTCTGGCAGCGAGGCAAGGCCGCCTGCACAGCCCTACCATGATCCTTCGGTTATGGTGAAAACAGCGCTTGAGTCACAAGTGCGGATGCCCTCACGTGACTGCTCAAGGTGCTGAGAGGCGATAAAGTTGTCAGACTCGATCGTTTGCAAGATGTTGAGCCGTCTGATATTGTCCTTGACGACCATTCAGAAGACAAAGGTGGTAAGTCAAAGCTACGAACGAGTAGAAAGCATTTTTCACTTGAACAGAATCACAAAGTGTTGAAAAGTGTTTTATCGTCTTGATCATCTTTTTAGTTTCCGAGGAGAAGACATATGTCAAAGACGACCAATCCATTCACTCCGTGCACTTGAGTGAGAACGAGGTCCCTGCGATACTCAACTCAGCCGTTTGGGATTTGGATGAGCAGGCCACGAGCAAAGATAAACATGTTTCATCAATCGATTCTCACAACGCAACTTTTGTTGTGAAGAACTTTGGATCTTGTAATGTAGATTTGTTGAGCAGGGTGATCAGAAGTGATTTTGCAAGCTCGAAAACATTTCAATCGAGTGTTGCGAAAAGCATAAATGCTTTCGAAAACTCGTCTACGAATCTGCTACTTGTTGACAACCTTGGTCGTAGTTGGGTTGTGAAAGCATACGAACAATGCAGAATTGGGTGATCCTTGGTACTTCGTGATAGCGATCATTCTTATGCTTGTAACAGGAGTTTCGCTGACTGCACCGTTGTGATCAACCCAGAAACATGCAAGGATGTCGCTGGTCACCATGCTTGCGTCTCTTATTCATCAGCAAGAGGAGCTTGGGTTTACCAGGACTCAAGCTCATCCGGCAGTTTTGTGAATGAAAACTTCATCCATGGGACCTGCAGCGACATCGGACATGGCGATTTCATTCGTTTAGGCACTGCAGGAAGTGAAATCTACTTTGTCGCGCATCTTGTTCCGGGGGTAAGTGACCAGGATTTTAGTCTCTGCTGTGCTGCCAAAGATTGATCAACAACTCTGCTAGACAGCACAGAACTTGCAAGAATACATCATGGGAACCACAAGACAAAGCGTAATGACGCCCGACGGATCGTTGGTAATGCGATGCGAAGAACTTTCTGCCTTTAACTTTGGAATTGTAGATTGACTTGAAGGAGAAGAATGTTGAAAACCATATCAAAGAGAGGATCGATCGAATATCCCGACGTTCACAGCCGTTGATGATTAATCATGGAACACAGCAACGCCAGCAATTCGGTGGATGCTACCGGCAAGATTCCGTCTCCCAACCTTCAGACATTCGCTCACACATCCTTCACGACACACAAGGGCTGAGCGTATTTCCTCCGTCTCACTCGTCACCGCACTTCCATGCGCTACCGATTCACCATCAAGAACAGGGCTCGCAGCTTGAACCGCAACAGAGCATGAGTCGAAACATAGCAATGATCACTTACAATGGAAGCATCGTGTGGAGCCCGATGACTTCACCGTTGAACAATGACATCTCTCAAAGGGATCGCCGACCAGCTTCACTGCCAGGAATCACGCGAGGCCAGGAATCGACGGGAGTCACAACTCGAGTGCCCACAGATGACGAGATCTCTGATTGGCTGGCGACGAGCCGAAAAGTCGGGGAGCGGTCGGCCTCGCTCATTGTTAAGGAGCTCAAAGATCTGCGACGATCTGCTACGAGCGAAGCAGAAAAAGTGATCGAGGAGGCTAAGCGCGAAGCTGAGCAGCTGCGAGCAAGGGCTCAAGAGGAAGCGACTCTGCTTCGACTGCAAGCTCAAGAGCATGCGGATAAGCTGAAGATGACAGCTGAGACGATCTCGAGGCAAGCAGTCTCCCTACAGCAGGACAACCCAATGCGCTTAAGCAGATTAGAAGAATTCGTCACCAGCTTTCAGCCAAACATGTCTCATCGTGCCAGAGAAAATGCGTTGTACTCTGATAGTCAAGGCAGGGCTCCTGAACGCCTGACGAGCGACTATGCTCGAGTGAATTTCAGTCCGTCTGCCTCCAAGCTGAAGGACACGGACCATGGGCACGGGGCCTCACCCCATCGCGACTCTGCACGAGCTTCAGACCAGACCGACCGACCTGAAATCATGACAGTCTTGCAACCTGCACGAGGTCGCGAGGATTCGACACATACTTCCTCGAGGGGCGAAGCTTCACAGCTCGTCACGGGCGCACGAGGTGATGACGGACAAGGCCCGCGAATTTCTCTCAGTCGCCCCTCGGGCTTCTTGCGCCCATCCCAACCGTGGGATGCGGCTCCGAGATCAGCCTTCTTGAACGCGCTTGATGGAGCCTCCTACTCGCATAGTGACCACGTTGCTGCCGCTGAGACTCCTCCTCCTCTTCCTCCTCCTCAGAGCTATCTTGATGCAGAAGAACCGTATGATCACTACGGCAATCGCAGCACCTTTCAAAGCTTCAATTCTGAGGTCTACGGAGACCATGCCGAGGAAATCCTAGAGCTCGAGGCAGAAAGAGAAAGGATCCTGTTCGAGCTCGCTCAAACAGTGGCAGACACACGAGTTTCTTACGCTGTATGAAGCTTTAGTTGTAATTTTCCTATGTGAATCGCGAGGTGTATTCTTACTGTGTGAAACTATTTGCAATCTTTCCAAGTGAAGCTTTATTTGCAATTTTACCAAACGAAGCTTTAACTGCAACCTTACTATCTGACAGCTTGATATGTGAACTCATTGTATATAAGCTGCTATGGTCGAATGTTGTTCATCATAACACGTGCATCCCCTCTGTTTGCATCTCAATCCTCTGTAACAGCCTGCTCGCTTTGTAGTACACACCTGTATCAATTTTTGTGGATGGAATGGACCGCAGGGCTACAGGGTCTGCCTTTGAGCTTAGTGGCTCAATCGAGGTTTTGACTTTCATAACCCCTCCCTACAGACATGAGTTGTAGGGCCTTGCGCCCATAGAAGAAATTCGACCGTGGATGCGAACAAAATGTGATGGAGGCGGGGATAAAGAACAAAGTTGAGCTCTGACCCTGCATACTCAATGTCTTGGTCTTGTTGCGCATCAAGGGACACAAGCATGTTCAGAATAGAAGGATCTCAAGAAGACTGTCTCGAAGCCCAGATTCTCTTCGAGAGAATTGCTCATGAGAATACTTTGTTGAGAGAGTATGGAATTCTTTGCAGAGCCAGAAACATTTGGCAGGTTCTTTCATGCTTGTGTACAATAGATAACGTTTGTGAGCCAAGTGATCAGGTGTGGCATGTCAGGAGGCAAACAGCAACATTGCATGCGAATCATATGACACAGCAAGTGCTGATGAGAAACCAGGTAGGGACGAATGCTGTTGAACGCTTCAATTGACATGATGCAGTATCTGCATTTTTTCATATGGATGCAGCATGCTGCACACAACTTGAAAATGAAGAGGATACTTTGGAAATACAAGGAATCACAATCTGTCAAGAAGGTATTTGAGATTGATTTCAATTAGAACCGATTTGTGAAGAAAGCTATTTTGACTGGATGTTGCAGAAAATTCTAATTTTCTATCGTTGGAAACAGAGGCGAGTGAAGCACTACTTTCCTCGTTCGCTTCAAGGGGAGATGAAGTCAATATTGGTTGTTAATATTTCCATGACCAGAGCGATTGTAAAGAGCATTGTTGATGACGAAGAGATCAACATACATGTTTTCCAGAAACTACTCAGGAGGAGATGTATCCGTGCACTTTTACAGTCATGTCTAGACACCTGGCAATCTTTGTTCCAGAGAAACAAAGTCCTGCATAACTGCATGTCAAAGTTCTTGTCCGTCGTGAATGACTTGGAGCGACTCCAGGCTCTGCGGTGGATGCAAAAGTTGATTGTTCTATGCAGATCGCGCAGAACTCTCCGAAATCTCAGGAGGACCTTTGAGTACAAGAGATTCTGGTTGTTATGGAAAAATTCTGTTGAGTCATGCATGTCTTTCCGGTCCAAGAAGCATGTCTGCTCTGATCAATTTGGTGTGATTCTTCTCAAACAAAATCGTGCTCTGCAGAAGTTTTTCTTTGGCGAACTTGACTGTTATGCTGGTCGCTCAATCATCCTTCGAAAAAGCATGCACTCCCTACAGACAAAACGAAAATTGAAGCAGAAATGGAGGACTTTTGAAACTCTTCGACTGGCATATCTAGATCGCAAACAAAGAAAAAAAGTGATAGAGCGGTTTTGCTCTAAAATGTTGGTTAGAACTCGTTTTGAAGTGTTGAGGAACTCTACGGATACCTGGCAGATGATCACTTCAAACAAGAGGACGGCGTCAGCAGCTATCGCACACATTGGAAAAAAGTCAGAGAAAGACATGATGATTACCTACTTTGATGCATGGATTGCAACTACGCTTGTGCTGAGAAGGAAGCAGAAGAGGTATCAGGTGTTGGAGAACATGATGGCAAGGCTTCAGTCAAACAACAAGATCAAGCAGTGCATATCTGACTGGTCCGTTCAAGTCCAGGCGCCAGGTGCTGAAATCTGCCAATTTGGACATTTTTACGAGGGACACAGACGGAAATCGTTGAAGTTATCTATCTTTCGATGTTGGCAAGAATATTCTGAACAAATTGTAGTGGTTAAGCGCGGTGTTGAGTCAAAAATCCATCTTGCATCACGGAAGTTGATTAGAGAATCCATGCAACAATGGTTCGAATTCTCAAAGGCAGGAAAGGAATTGAGAGATTCCCTTGTGTTCAGGAGAAGTACGGCAACCTTAAGTGTCAGTTTCAAAACTCTCAAAGATGGGAACCCACGCCACCCATGCCCCATCGAGCTAAAATTGGAAATTTTCTCTGTGTTGGTCAAACATTTCAGTTTGAAACAGAAAACAATGCTTAAGAAATCAATGAATTCATGGTGCGAGTTTCTCAAAGTGCTCAGCTATGAAAGATTGATAATGAACCATTGGCTAACAAAGGTGCAAGAGCGATGCAAAACCTTGGCATTGAACCAGTGGAAAAATTGCAACAGAGACATAGAAAAGAATATCCTTCGAATCGGAAATTGCCAAACAATAATGATCAATACACAAACAAACCTGAGATCAAAATGTATGAAAAAATGGATAGACGAAACACAATTCAAAAAGTATCTCCAAGAGAAGATAATGAAACATGAAAAGACGAAAAAGGCTACAACAATTCGAAAGGGAGTACGAACGTGGAAAGAAGCCATAAACGAGAAACACCTGAAACAAAAGTGGCAAGAGCAGACAACATTCAGATTGAAAACGATGTCCGATTCATATTCAAAAGACAAACACGTACGGAAATGGAAAACGTACGTGGAGAGACGAGCGCGGGCGAGGCGAGTCGGGGAGATCCTGTCGGGCCGGGCGAGGCGCGGGGAGGAGGCGGGGAGTGTCGGGGAGGCGCTGCGGGCGTGGGCCGGGAGGGCGCGGGCACGGCGGGTACAGGCGGCGGTCGTGGGGCGGCTGACGGGGCGGCGGGGGCGGGAGACGGCGAGGGAGGCGATGGAGGGCTGGCGAGAGCACGCGGGGAGGGCGCGGGCACG